CTAGATATGAATTAAAACACGATGTTTTCACACCGACCTATTTCTACAACTTTTTAATTTTTTTCTTCAGATTTCCTGTATTCCTGCATTGTCAGTTTAGACTGTATATCAAGTACTAACACTGTCTTCTAAGATCTGGACGAACGCTGAGTCTTACAGTTATGAAATTTAAAATCAAGGCCACTGACATATGGAGAACTTTGTGGAAGAATCAGGTAAGTGACATTTTTTTAAGAAAAAAAAAGAGATTTTTATGGGAAAGTTCTTATTTTAGTCTTATTTAAATATATAACATTCATTTATATTGGTAAATCCATTAATTCTAATGACACTTAGTGGAAGAACTAGGAAAGCTACATTATTTAAGTATTCTTCGGATGGAAGAACCAGTTAAGTGATTTGGAAAAAAATAGTTAAGCAACCTTAGGAAATCACTCACCTGGCATGGAACGATAAGGTACGAGGAGTCTGAAGTTATTCTTAAGAAAATGAAAAACTTGAAACAGCAGCTTCCATAGGGAAATATAGATTCTTTTAATATATTCTTATGGATGGGGAAATATAGATTCTTTTATGAATCAACAATTAAAAAATAGCCTTTAAATAGCCTCAAAATGTAATTTTATTTTTCCTGGTCTGCAATAATTTGTATTTCAGACTCACTGATTAAATTTATTTTTTTCTAAGAAACACGTCCGGTTGAAAGCATATATTTTGTGCTTAAGCAAGTTTTTAGTATAAATTTATAGTCACTAGCTGGATACTCGCTCTTCTTATAGGTTAAAAGAATAACAAAATAATCAATAAATCGGTAGTGATCAATACTAGGAAAATATCTACAGAACTGAGAGACATCTTTATATAATATAAGAAGAGAGTGAAATTATTACAAATGGCCAATCACAGAAGACTTGCGGTTAGTAACGCACAAAACAGCCAATTAAAATTGAGAACGCATGTGTGTGAAAAAGTAATAATTTTTAATAATAAAATGTCACGGATTTAAGGTTGTGTCAAGGTACGTCTCTTGTGAATATTAATTGATTGTTAGGTTTCCTCTTTTGAAATTACATTATGACGCATTCACATATATTATTAATACAAATACATTTTCCATGGCTAGACGAAGAGGCAACTACAAGCACTTCCACTGGTTCAAGAGGTCCACGAGGGAAAAATGCATTACAGAGTGATTGCAGAGCACGGAAGCGAGCGGAGCAGGAAAAAGAGTCGTTGAACAGAACTAGTGATCCCTCTACGATTGCTGACGCATTCACATACATTATTAATACAAATTCATTTTCCATGGAGAGACGATGAGGCAACCACAAGCACTTCCACTGGTTCAAGAGGTCCACGAGGGAAAAATGCATTACAGAGCATTACAGAGTGATTACTGAGCACGGAAGCGAGCGGAGCAGGAAAAAGAGTCGTTGAACAGAACTAGTGATCCCTCTACGACTGCTGACGCATTCACATACATTATTAATACAAATTCATTTTCCATGGAGAGACGATGAGGCAACCACAAGCACTTCCACTGGTTCAAGAGGTCCACGAGGGAAAAATGCATTACAGAGTGATTGCAGAGCACGGAAGCGAGCGGAGCAGGAAAAAGAGTCGTTGAACAGAACTAGTGATCCCTCTACGACTGCTGACGCATTCACATACATTATTAATACAAATTCATTTTCCATGGAGAGACGATGAGGCAACCACAAGCACTTCCACTGGTTCAAGAGGTCCACGAGGGAAAAATGCATTACAGAGCATTACAGAGTGATTACTGAGCACGGAAGCGAGCGGAGCAGGAAAAAGAGTCGTTGAACAGAACTAGTGATCCCTCTACGACTGCTGACGCATTCACATACATTATTAATACAAATTCATTTTCCATGGAGAGACGATGAGGCAACCACAAGCACTTCCACTGGTTCAAGAGGTCCACGAGGGAAAAATGCATTACAGAGCATTACAGAGTGATTACTGAGCACGGAAGCGAGCGGAGCAGGAAAAAGAGTCGTTGAACAGAACTAGTGATCCCTCTACGACTGCTGACGCATTCACATACATTATTAATACAAATTCATTTTCCATGGAGAGACGATGAGGCAACCACAAGCACTTCCACTGGTTCAAGAGGTCCACGAGGGAAAAATGCATAACAGAGCATTACAGAGTGATTACTGAGCACGGAAGCGAGCGGAGCAGGAAAAAGAGTCGTTGAACAGAACTAGTGATCCCTCTACGACTGCTGACGCATTCACATACATTATTAATACAAATTCATTTTCCATGGAGAGACGATGAGGCAACCACAAGCACTTCCACTGGTTCAAGAGGTCCACGAGGGAAAAATGCACAATATTACCGTGATTACAGAGCACGGAAGCGAGCGGAGCAGGAAAAAGAGTCGTTGAATAGAACTAGTGATCCTTCTACGACTGCTGATTCTTCTACAATTAACATCGCAGGTTACGAAGTTTAACTTCTTCCACGCGGAGGAACTCCACGTACTGTTTTTTTTTTATTTTGAGTATGTCTAACGATGGAGTCACAGTTTTCCATTGTTGTCCGTGCATTTCTATTGGCCTAAAAATCACGAGGTAGGATCCAGTTTTTCCTCATTCATTTCAATATTTCTTTGGTTGTCATCAGCATAAAATTAACAAAAGTCGTAAAGGTATTGTTTTCCTTTAAATATTTTTTTTATCCCTAACTTAAAGATGTTTTTCAGTACTGCAATTATTAGCGAAAGTATTAAATTATGGTTGTGAACTCATCAAATTTGTTTGTACAATATAATGTTATAAGAATATAAATGCTCTTTTAAAAATGATTACTTCGAAAAATCACTTCTGTTCACCGAGAGATCTAAATGTTTTTAATATTATTAGATAGTAATATTTGGACGTGGTAAGTAGACCCACAAGCGTAAGCAAACAGAATTCCTTCTAGTATATATATGTTACGCGAATAATTTTAACTTTAGTAGAGAAACTGTTTTCGGCCAAGAAAAGACAATTATTGCGAGGCAATCAAGGGGGTTGGTGAGCGACAACGAACATGGGGCTTAGCTCCCTAGTATTGGCACAATTAAGTAAAAACAATTCCAGTTATTTTATTTATTATTATTTGTTGCTCTTCTAAGTGACTTTACGTTATTAAACGAAACATGATTCTAGAAGTTAGTCCTATGATAATAAAGATTAACGATACTTAATATCATTTTGTCCCTCTAAAGATTTTTTTAATTATGTTTTCACGAAATTGCTAAAAGCATTAAGATTGAGCAAAATTTCAAAAACGAGGAATGTATAATCTCTAAAACTCATTTATAAATTGTCCTGTACTTAAAATGTTCTTCCACTACTATAAAATGTTCTTCCACTAAGTTCATCATGTATGTCTTGAGTTATGACTGTGACTGAGATCACATAAACAAATTGTATCCCAATTTTGAAGAGAATAAAATAAAATTAAATCCACAGATTTTTGTTAAATGATTAGTGAGTAATTTTTGTTGGGGTAAGTACGAATTTTGTAATAGTTTTTACGACCTAATTGCTTTCACTTTTTCTCTATTCCTTTGATTGCTAATTCTAGTTTTTTTGAGTTTCAGACTTGGTGATTTTTATTGTTTGCTTATTAAACAGTTTGTATATTCTATAGTGTATGTTATTTTTTTAATTTTTTTTATTGGCAATACGTTGATTTTCACGATTATTCCAAAATAAACGTATTATTACATTTTTTCGTTTACTTTCAGTTATGTTGCTAGAGATTTTACTTACCTTTTACCTTTTCTATTTACTAGAAAATAGTTTTATCTCTCTTCGCTTTTTTTTTTCTAATTCGATGCTTGGAAAGAAACAGTGCTTCTCAATTAGATAACTAAACCATTTAGTGAAGAAGTATATGAGCCCTGACATTAAGCATAGTCTGAGCATAGTCAGTATTTAATTTATAAACTAATAACTAAACGCAATTATTATTTTATGAATTACATAATAAAATATAAAATAATAACTGCATACTTTAAATCGTCGTGTTATATTTGGCCAAGTCTTCGACGTAGCATATTTATTTATTGGCGTTTGTGCCATGAAACCAAAACCAACAAACTAACATCTACAGAATGATTTTCTTTTAAAAAAGGAAATCTAATTGTAATTGTACATTACCAATTAAATAGTTTAGAAAGAAGAATTAGTGCAACATGTATATTCATTATTAAATTGAGTTTCTTGCCTTAAATATCTGAAAGACATTATATGAATCTCAAATTCGTGCACTTCAGAGTTGTGGTTTCATTATTGACCTACAGCAATACTGCAGAATTAAATCAGAAATACTATGCTTCGCCAATTCTGGTGGAAATACGAGTTGAAGCTGTGAAAAACCATGAGGGATTTTGTTTTGCTAATTTACGGTTTCGGAATATCAAGAATTGGTTTATGCATTAAATTTTCCTATAGATTTGAAACTTTGTTCAATCATAAATGACCTTTTCTGGATCTTGCACCATTAAAATCTTCATGCGGTTCAATATAATCAATAAATGTTCCGTTCATTACTACGCTTAATTTATTATTATGGTATAGTTATTATGTTGATGATAATATTATGTGGATAATTTTTTCAGATATTTTGTAATTCTTTAAAATATTTAATGATTTTTCCCTCTACATTAAGTAATATTACATATAACAATTTTTAATTGCCTCATTAAGAAATCAGCTTAAGGTATCTGGCTAGGGTAAACATGATTTTAGACAAAATTTTCGAAACGGAGTATATTATGAATTTAGAATTCCTACTTTTAGCTTTCTAAAAATATTTTACTTCTGTTTATAGTCTAGTTAGTTTAGAGTAATCTAATTATAGCAGTTTTTGAGCAAAGGTGTTAATAGTGGATAGACTAATGAGTTTAAGACTTTAAATGCGTTTATCTCAAAATCAGATTTTATCACATTTCGCACCACCTTCAACATGATACCTCATGTTGCTTTTAAAATAATTGTCGACAAATTTTCATGACTGTTTATGATTATAGCAGACATGTTTTGAGCAACAGACTAAGAGAAAAAATGTAGAACTTAGTTTTTTTAATGCATGATTTTAGCAAAGACAAATGCAGAATTTTTTTAAAAATTTGCTTTTTTAACTGCATTTTTTCCTCACTCAGCAATATATGCACTTTCCTTTAAGAAAATAATTTAAAACTTAGTTAATAGCCTTTTAAATAAAATCCTCAAAGGATTTTTGTTTTGTGCTATATAATTTTTTTACAATATAATATTTTCACCTTAAAATGTCTATTTAAAGAAAAATAAAGTAACTTTTTGCTAGTTTTATAGGTTTTTACACATAATAAGACAAATAGACTAGTTTTCAAAATTATATATTGATATTTAAAAAAAAGTTGTCAAAACTAGTCGGATACCTTAAGCGATTTAAAATACTTTTAAATTACACATTTCACTAGATAAAAATTTCATTGAGCGAGAAATTTTTCCATAAATTAATTTCTCCAAAACAATTTGCTTAATCGGTGCTTTTTTATTTCAAGCATTCACTAAAATCTCTTGAGAAATTTCCTGTACAATTACTTTGCCCGAGATAATTAAGTCTTATTAACAGAGATTTTCATTTCACTTAATGAAACCTCGTTCCCTGAAAAATTCTGCATGTTTGTTTGTGTATTCGATGTATATTCGTTAAAACTTAAATGGGTAGTTATAAACTCTGTTTAATTTCTTCTCTTTTTAATCATTTAGTCACATTAAGTGAAAGTGCTAGAAAGTACTTAAAATGTGAGCTACAGTAATAGCTATAAAGAAAAGTTAAACGAAAGCTTTTTTAAAGTCCTGGTTGCTGAAGATTTAATGATATTGCTAAATGAATTTATTGATAAACAAAATGATACAAAACAATTTCCAGTTTGAAAACAAAAGAAGATGAGAATTTACAATGATAAACATGAGTAATAAAACAAAAATAAATGAATAATAAAACAAAAATAAATGAATAATAAATAAATATAATAATATTTAATGCTTATCCTAAATTTTAGTTGACATCCTATAATTTTAGTTGACAATGACTTGTATGCCTTAGATTTGAATAGAGACGAATTTGATATAGCATTACATGATTTCTTAAGTATCTTTGAATATTACTAACAACAACAATCTGAAAAAGAATACAGTATATAACATTGGATCCAAGAGGGTAAACAGGTAAGTGAAAGATTGTAAACATTAAAAACATTGGATCAAAAGGTAAATTAGACAAGCAAAAGCAATTTAAACGTAATAAAACATTGAAAACATAGAAATTGAACCAACAGGCTTCCAGAATATAAAATATAAAATATCATTGAACCAAAAGGGTTCCAAAGTTAAAAACAAATAAATAGCAATGAAGTGAAATGAGTAGAATTAAAAGAAAGCATTAAGAGCAATTAGCTGTTTGTGGCAGGGCAGGTGGTCGCTATGCAACCCCGAGAGATGTTAATTAGGTGCAAAGATCTAAATTTGATTCATATGAAGAGGGTCCATGAGATCGTCTGGTGTCATTATATCTACCAGGGTACGTTTAATAATCTCAGTGATAGCATATTTTTGTGCTTTAGATCGGAACCAAAGAGTCAAGTCGTTCATATTACGAAAGAGATTTCCTCGGAGTGTCCGGAATTTGTCACATTCGGCGATTAGGTGTTTAAGAGATTGATATTTTCCACAGTATTTACAGCTGGCTGTAGCTTGGAATAGCCTAGCTTGATGCTCGCCGAAAACTCAGTGGCCCGTGAGAAATTGATTAAGAAAGAAATCGCTGGAGAGTCTATTCTCCTTGACCATTGGGTAGAAGATATAGGTATGTCTCCCATTTGTTGTGGTTGACCACCTGTCCTGCCAGATTGCGCTGCTTACCTGCCTCAGTCTGTAATTGATTTGTGGTTTTGAAAGAGGATAATAGTGATCAACCCTGCCAAGAAGAGTGCCTTGTTTGGCAAGTGCATCAGCTTCCTCGTTGCCAATGTCCCCAGAATGTGCCTTTACCCAGTTGAGACAGCATGTTTTATATTTGACCATGTTCCTAATTTCTTCCACAAGTGGGTCATTCGGATTTGGGTTTTCTAGCGACTGCAGCGAGGATTTAGAATCAGAGAATAAATTAAATGCTTTAATATTTTCGGCGTTTGCCCATGTGATTGCAAGTTTGATGGCAGTGAGTTCGGCGGGGGGCAGTGAGTTCGGCAGTGAGTTCGGCACTTGCATCGTTATTAAGTCTAGCACAGTGTTGATAAATGGTGTTGTTATTAAGCTTCACCAAGAAACCACAGCCCACTCTATCCTCGGTCAACCCTGTATCCGAATTTGTTATTTGTCTTCTACTACCGTCTGTATAGATTTCATAACCCACACCCCTCGGTGAGCTGAAGCCCCTTTCTATCATCTTGAGATCCAAGGGATTATGGTGTACTGGGGTATCTATCGGTAAGGCATCTAGTTCTCTGATTTGGAAGTCGCTATCGAAAATGATTTGCTTATCTCGCGTCCACCGATGATTCTTTATAGTACAAGTCTGTCAAATTTTTAGGTCGATGGGGGGAATACCAGCAAGAATTTTAAGATACCTCTGTGCTGGTGGTGGAGTAGCATTTGGTGATATTTAGAAGGGGGATGCGCTGTATGGAGTTCAACTTCTTATTAATTTTCACGTTATTTTTATACCATACAGAGGCTCCGTAAGTGATTTTTTTCTCAATAGCTCGGAGATAAATTTGTTTAAGAATGTTTGGGGACAAGCCCCAAGTGGCTCTACTGAACTGTTTCATTTTGTTGTAAAAGATGTCGACATCGGACTTTAACTGCTCGAGATGAGGCATCCAGCTCAACCGAGGGTCAAAAATTACGCCAAGATATTTAAGTGTTTTTACTGGTTTAATATTGGCAGTAGTTGTGCCAGCCATTTTGATACGCGGTTGCCTTCTAAGACATTTGGCGTCTTTAAGAAATGTGATCAATCAGAAATGTGATTTCAGGTGCGAAAACAAGGCTGCGTTCCCTGGCCCAGTCCGTAAGAGACTGTATAATATCTGTGCCTATTTTGTCGATTCTATAGAGTATTGAATGCTTCATCAGTAAAAAGACGTCATCGGCGAAGGCAAGCAAACTGCAATCATAATAGTTAAAATTGACGATCAATGAATTAATGAGTATGAGCCATAAAATGGGTCCCAGGGACGAGCCCTGGTTGGTGATTCTATGAGAACATCATTTCGATTAAAACAAACATATCTATTGTTTAAAAAATCAAAAACCACCGCCAGTACCGAGTCGCCCAATTGCTAAATGAATACAGATTCATTTTTAAAATAATAGATCAAAATTCTTTGAAACTTCTAATTTAAAGTAAATGATTTTTTCAAATGTTTAATAAATGGTTACTAGATAGTTAGTGTGTTTTTAAATGTAAAAATGCTACTTATATAATTTATATGCATGCAAATTCAACTCTAAATAAAACCGTTTAAAAAATGAAATGTGATTAAAGAGTCTTCAAAAATGTATAAAAAAGGCCAAAAATATTGTTCTAGTGTATGTCTTTTAAGTTTTTTTTTCCTAATTTTATAGATTTTTTTTAATGGAAAATAAAAAGATATACATATTTGCATTGTCATTTGGCTGTATTTGTGTATTTAAAAGATCTTTGCACGATGCATTAAAATACTTAGGTGATCTTTCCAATATTATATAATAATACTTTTCACTTCCCAAAATTATATATACTTAATAAAAATTATTAACACTCACTTATAAATACTTATCTTGTTTTAGTCTCCCAGGGGCACACTCTTGTGTGACGGGCACGGAGCATCCGGGGCCCCAAGCTTGACCAGAACATTTTTCTATTTCTCTCTTGCGACGGTTCTATTTTGAGTTTCTGATATTCATTATTTATTACATTAACCTAGTGAGTGAACATTTATGAGTTTTTATACCTTTGTTTATCTCTTATTTCTGTTGCTTTCATATGTATATTTATTAATTTTGCTCAACTTCTTTATCTGTATTATATTTATGTATTAAATTTTCACCCTTGTCGCGGTTGCCAAATTGACTGGTAAGGGCTTCTCGTCTTGGCTCGACGTTATATCAGACTGAGACGGGAAAAAACCACCAGCGTGTTCACCGTGCGTGGAGACCCGTGTCCCTGGGAAAGGGGATCCTGGTAGTTGAGGTGCATCTTGGTACCCGAATACGTTGCTTTGGCCCGTGCTTCTGGTAAAAGGGAGGTGCATAGTCGCCGGCATGCATGAATTGGCTAGTCAAGGAATGTCATCTGTTGGCTGGGGTCTAGTCCTGGGTCATTTACTGGGCACCTCGTTAAGGGTGGAGGCTGCTTCAGGGGTGACTTTCGGGAGCATAGCGATTGGTCAAAGCATCGGTGTTTAAGTAACAGATTCCTACCGGCTACTCGCATCTCCTAAGTTGGACTCTATGGTGGGTGGTGCCGCTGACAATGGAAGTGATTTTTTTCGTGGTTGAAAATGAACAGGTGTTCAGTTCCACACACCGAAACAAAAGCGGAACAACCTCTTCACCTAGTTTTAACTTGTCGAAATGCCCCAACTATGACCCCTCTAATGCAAAATTTCTGATATTTAGTTCTAAAAAAAAGAAAAGAAAAAACTGTTCTCTATGTCACAATTTTTAGTTCAAACATCACTTGAAACACACATTGGGAATCCAAAAAGTCTCAAACAGATGCCATCAGGAGACTTATTAGTCGAAACAAATTCTACTACACAAACAGCTGCACTAATAAAACTGAAACATATTGGGAACGCTAATATTACAATAACGCCCATCACACAATACTTTAAATATATCTAAAGGCGTCATTTCAGATAATTCTCTGCTATCCCAACCCATCTCAGAAATAATAGAAGGTCTTTCAAATCAAGGCGCAATAGATGCACGCCACATCACGATCAAAAAGGGTTCAGATATCTTCACTACCTAACACATAATTTTAACTTTTAATACTGCCTGTTGACATTAAAGCAGGATACCAAAATTGTAAAGTCTGTCCATATGTTCCGAATCCTTTGCGCTGTTTTAAATGCAAAACGTTTGGCCACTCCACCATCAATTGTAGAGGTAAAGAAACCTGTTCGCGCTGTGGTCAAACTGGGCAATCTTTTAAATCATATACAGATCTGAAAAATGTGTTAACTGCAAAGAAGATCATTCTGCAAATTCAAGACAATGGAAACAGGAAAAACTGATCTTAAACATAAAAGTAATTAAAAATCTCTCCTACTTTGAAGCTAAAACTAAATTCCGGAATTCACAAGCCCGAGCTAATGTTTCGTACTCTGCAGCAGTTATGAACACAGTCTCTAATGCAAAATATACAAAATCAGTAGGCAGTGAATATGATATCACAGAAACACTAAATACTAAGCTTAAAAAAATAACTCCCAGACAAACAGCTAGCAAATCAAAAACAACTTTCGCTCAATCTCAGCAAACACAAAATCTTGAAAAATCCGTTATCCCATCTTCAACACAGGTACAAAACAATTTTGAAAATCAAAAGTACTTGAAGTTAACCCTGCAGCTAATAAACAAATTACAACAAAAACTAACTCAGTCTCCAATAACAAAAATATTTTGCGAAAAGTAGACAAATTAAATTTAACAAAAATAGGTTAAACCATCTAAAAAATAAAGAACAACATTCTGAACAAGAATCTGACGCAATGAGCACAGATGAAGATAAGGAAGACGAGCTTCCTAATTCTCAGATGCAAACTGAAGATGGGATGGAGACTCCACCAAATCTTTGTCCGAAAAATACTAAACTTAAAATTCGAAGGTAATAATGACAAAAATAATATCTTGGAAATGCAGAAGCTAGAATGTTACAAAACCTGACATCATTGATATAGTGAATAAATTTCTCCATGTTGCATTTGTCTCCAAGAAACCTCACTAAAACCTAACCAAAATGGTAAACTTCGCGGTTATAATTCAATTGAAAAAGATAACATTAACAGAAATAAAGCTTGTGGTGGAGTCATGATTATGACTTCCACTCTGTATCCAACTCGTATTATATCACTTAACACTAACTCAAATATCTCTTCAATTTCTTCTTACTGTTTGTTGTATTTATCTTCCTCCTCATGATAATCTGTGCCAATTGGATTTAGATAATTTAATAGCACAACTTCCTCCTCAATCTTTAGTAATAACCGGTCATTTCAATGGTCATAGCCTTATGTGGGGGAGTTCCGATTCAAATAATAGTGGACTTATGATTGAAAAACTTATAGAAGACTATATTTCATGCCTTTTAAACACAGGAGAAAGCACCCATTTTCACACCCCCTCAAAAACATGTTATGCCGTAGATCTGGCGATTTGTAAGTTCATCGCAGTATTCATATTTGTCATGTCACGTACATAATAATCACTTCAATAGTACTCATTTCCCATTAATGCTCACTCATGCTGGCTCTAATAATTATCAACTTTCCAAAACCCCAAGACTCAAAATGACTACAACAAATTGGGCAAACTTTCCTCTAGCACACAACTCAGTGAAAATCTTATAAATCAAAGCGATATAGATCTTGTAGTTGAACATTTTACAGGTAAAATACTTGAGGCAGCCAAACATAGTACAAAAATGACATCGTTCAAATTACCTAAACAACCGAAACCGTGGTGGAACCAGGATCAAACCAAGCACAGAACGAGAAAAAAAAACAACGATGGGAAAATTTCCGCAGGCACACAACAACAGATTACCTGATTGCATTAAAAAAAACTCGTTAAAAACATCGTGGCAAAATTACGTGACGTCAATTAAATATAATACACCGTCAAACATTAACTGGCATAAAATAAAAACTATAACTGGTAAATACACTGCAAATAATACACATATTCTCAGATGTAATAATTCTCTTATTTCTCATATTCACGATATAGCAAATGCTCTGGCCGATGCTTTTGCCAAAGTTTCTAGCGATTCGGCTCCCCAACAACCATTTGCCACGATAAAAAGAAATAGTGAGAAAATTAAACTGACGCCAAAGAGCACAAACAGCGAATATAATAAACCTTTTACTCTCAAAGAACTTGAATATATTTAAAAAAATACTCACTCTACAACTCCTGGTCTTGATGAGATTCACTATTCCATGATTCAAAAGCTATCTGATAAAATTTTAAGTCTTCTCCTAATAATATAAAACCAA